GCTAACGGTTAGCAGGTTTCCACTACATCACCTAACTCACAAAAATCTTGGTGTACTATCTGACCCAGTGCTGATGGCAACTGAAGCCAACTTGGAGTTGTTCACTCAGGTACTCACTTCATTGAGGATTCTGTAGCAGTGTGCAGCACACTTCCTCAAAATGAATATCAAAGCTTTTGAAAAAAAATCAATTTTATTTTTTATTTTTCACAAAATTTGAAACTTTGTTTTTTGTTTTTATTTTTTCATATTCATTTTTTGCAACCTATTCTGCACCACTTGACAAAGTCTCATGACTTAAATCTGGTGCTTTGAAGCTCTGGGATCCAAAACAAGCAGCCAAAAATAACGGTCCACCCACTGTACAAGCTCGAGCACTCGGGCATTGTCGCCTTATGCACAGGCCTCCACTGGCGTGGACAGCTCCGCTGCTCGCTCCCGCTCCTGCCGTGGAGGCCTAGTTAGGCTCGGCTCCAGCAGTTAAGTAACCTCGGAGTAGTCGGTGGATTGTGCACCGAGCATGAGCAAAAAGAGCAACTCGCACGGTTTGCGCAGAGAGACTCTGAAAGCCATCAATCTTGTACTTTCTCAACGTGAAGGGTTTGAGCAGCTGTTGTTACATTCAATCCAGCCATCCAAGAGAGTCTTTCGTACTGGACAATGTTTCTCCAACCAAACAAATTAAGGTCAATGACCTTTTGCACGCACTCTGGGCGCTATACTTCGTCGTCCTACCTTGATGTAAACACGCAGTAACTTCCTATGAAGTCGAAGGCAGACGTCGAGGTCTGGACAGGCATTCATAGATCGAGGCTCCAAGAAAAGAGCATCCTCTCAAGCCAGTTGGGCCAGCTAGGTCCTTCTCGTCGAGATCGTTATACTTGATCAAGAAGGAAGAGTGCATACGTAGCCCGGCCAGGGGCACGATCCCTCTGGAAAGATCTGAATTACATTTCCAAGTTATGCCCTACCGGGCAGTCAATCCGATCGAAGTCTACTGTTTTGGCGAATCACTATTGACTGCCCTTCTATGAGGCCCCTGGTGAGACTTGCAAGTGCAAAAAAGTGTGCGATATTTTCAGGCTTTCGGATGAGTATGTATGAGCTTTAACGAAGGGATAAACATACCCAATGTTGGCCGGAGTTGGCCTGGCGGTCAAGACTCAAAAGGACATATTTGCGTGGCAGTACCAATGTTTCCGAAGCCGCATACGAAAACAAATACTCTTAGACTTTGAGCACTTGCTTGGTGTGTGTCAGCTCGGGTTTGCAGCTGTTTGCGAGCTACTAATACCTTGAGCCATCCTCCTCTAAGCAACCAAAGCTCAGGGTACACAGACTAGCGGTTTCTGTCCACGATTATATTCCTAACGATAACTCAGGATAGCTCTCGATCTTTTTGGCTCAGCTATCTCAGTCAGACTCCGTACCTGTCATTCATTCACATACCACCTAATTTTCTCTCAGGCCTTGTCACAATTCTCTTTCGGACCCAAGCATCCTTTTGAGAGTTTAATATCCTTTATTCAACTACAACAACAAGCTGAGGCCTCTTGCTCGGCGACTCTCGAAGAAACTTACATAAATAGGGGACCTCGATTTGCTTGTGTTGGCAGCCAACCACTTCCTTTTTGACCCTGCAAAGGTTATCAGTTTAAATAACATCCACAAATCAACAAACATGTTGATCAGTCTGTCGTTCATTACGCTTGGTTTTTCTATTCATGGCTACATCTCGAAAACAGCTCCCGCCCATCCCGCCTCCCCCAACATCCGCTCTCTGTTCAATGTTCCCCCAGGGACCCAACTAACTTACCCGATAACTGACCGCCCTGGCCCAACACCTAGGAAGGAGTGGATTGATGCCTACCAGAGGGTAAAGGTCAGCTGGAAAACGACATTTCTCTGAAATACACTTGCTCAAACTTGTTTTGACGCGTGTCTGATTGCATTCGTACTACCATTTTTATATCTCCTTCTGCAGAAAGCGGGTCTCATTCCATCGGTACCACAGACCACAGAGGTGGACGGTGCAGCTGTTTATCCCGCCTCGTACCATGGCACCATCTGCAATCCAGGATACAACTTAAGCAACTCTTCGGTTGATGTCATTAGCGCCCCTCCCGGAATCGCTGGAATCAGGTAAGTCGTGTGCTCCGAGTGGCCTTTTCATAGGAGAAATACCTGTTGAAATTTGCGTTTCATTGTTTTCAGCTTG